TTCCAAAGAGTGTTTTTTTTTACAAGATCGTCTATCTTTCAAATGGTTGGAACTAGGAGATTAACCTTAAACAAGTATTTATTCTAGCTGAACGCAAAGTCAATGAGACTTTTTGAATTGAAATAAGATCTAGGATGTAGTTCTCACAACAACATTTGCAGTAGGCACGGATTGCTTCTTCGGACGAAGCATCTTGGCAATTCTAGTAGCTGGTGTCCTTTTCTTGTTGGGTTTGAAGGTTGTAGAAGAACCATAATATACATATGGACGACCATATGATATTGGCCTTCTCCTCGGTCGAGCACTTGTGCGTAGTGGGCTGGAGACTGGTCCATCCCCTAAACCAGTTTGTTTCGGATACATGGGTGATGCAAGAGCTAGATTGGATTGATAGAATTTCCCATGAATGCGTTTGAAGACAAAACCTGACAAGTAATTAACCTCATCAATCTTTAGCCAATGACTTGGAAAACAAACATATAATAAAATGCTTTAGTCAACATTCGTTTTCATTGTTGTCCGTAATTACATCTCATAAATGAAATTGTTCTTTTCAAAAAAAAAAAAAAACAACCATTTCCATAAGAATAATCTCTTAAATTTTAAGATATACAACCAACATCATGGTCAGAAAACCACTATGCAATATAATTACATTTTGCAAGTTACCAAGACATTACCAATGATAAAAGGGTGAGGAAGTGCAATAACATATCCTCTGCTCCATTAGCCAAATAGAAAAGGTAATTAAAGCCCAATAATGAACAACGAAAAGGTACCAAGACTAGACCTAGACGGCACAAATTATTACACAAGACCCACATTCCTAACCATGACTAGAGGGGCACGTCTCAATCTTATGCCTATCTATTTCTTCAATCAGTAACAAAAATATTCTAGTCAATCTTATCCTAAAAATAATGGTTATCAGAGGTAATAATGTTGTAGATTTGATCATTGAATTGAAGTGCACTAGTAATATCCCCTCTGGACCTGAGATTCGGTACAAATATATAAGGTGCAAACTCCACTAATCACTTGTGTTTACTTCCTTAATAATTTTCATGTCCTCGTATGATCATATACTTAATGGTATGACTGCTACGAAGAACCATACATTCCACGAATAAGAAGCTAATTATGAGTTTAAAACATCGAAATACCGCGCAATATCTCTCATCAACCAAATATTGTCCATGATTTAAGCATTTGAGCAAGCATATATAATAGCAGACATTCAGCAGTTGCATTGCATGCTATTAAACAAACCTTGGTTCCTTCTGCCACGCTTCCACTCTGTCACCCCAGCATCAGCAACACGCCGCCTTCAACAATTAAAAAAAAAAACAACAAAAAACAGTCTGATCAACTTTCACCACACAGTAGTAAACATTCTCCGAGCTGAAAATGAACGAACAATTGAAATATGGGGAGAGAGAAACGAAGAAAAAACGAGAGGAGGAGTGTGGAGAAGGTACCGATGGTGGTTGAAACAGATTGAAATTGCAGAAATTACGTTGAGTGAGCGAGCTCCATGCGAGGAAGACGACGAAGACTGGGGGAAGATCGAGCCTGGCGTGAGAAGAAAAAATAAAATTTCTCTCTCTGCGGGGAAGAGGGAAGAGCGAGTGCATGGCCACAGCTAGGGCTTTCGTGGGCCGTCCTTTTACGGGCCCTTATTGGGCCGTCGATGACATCGCACTCGGATCCTACTGTCGACCCGACCCGGAACGCTTCAAAATTGTAAGCACATATATATTAGATATCCATCGAGATTTTTGCATGTTTAAAGGTTCAATATTGACATTTATATAGTGTAGCCAAAAACAAAAATAGACAAAATATAGAAAATAGCACTAATATGACAACAAAATACTAATATTAATATTTTTATTAATTTTTTATTTTATAATTTTTTTCTTAAATACCTATTTACATCGACATTTTTTTAAGTACAACATGTAGGAGTAGGGGATCGAACTCATAACCTATTGGTTGGAGATAAATCAATGGTAAAATTGAGAATGTTAAAATATTAAACACCAAATCGAGAATTACTATTTGATATATTTATATTTAAAAAAGTACTAAAAATATTTAGGTGTATTACATGTGAGATGTATTTTACTGTATGTTTTTATATTATAAAAGTTGATTTGACACTGATTTTATGTTTTGGTTTTTAGGAGTTATTTTGAAAACGACGAACTTAAAGTACAGAATATAGATTTTCGAAACTAGTTGTTCTTTTTTAAAACCACAGCATTTTAATTCGAGATAGATATCTTAACAAATTGATCCATTTTTTTTTAAATAAGAAAAATAATTAGGAGAAAACAAAAAGTATATTTTTCATTTTCTAAATTTGACTTAATTTATTTTCTTCTAAATATGATAGTGAATAATAATAATTAATAATCTTAATTTCTAAGAACAAAATTTTTTCAAAGCAAGATGCTTGTAATATACTTTCATTAATCATTATTGCTATTTTTTTAATTTTTCTTTTACAAAATGAAACCTTATATTTGTAATATCCGACAAATAATTTAAAAAGTTATTATATTTTATTTAAAAATAAATAAATTATCTCGCAACATCCAATACATAGATTGCTAATAAAAATAGCATTCCAACCTATTAACTCCATCGAAAATTTTCATATTAATAATACGAACATAGTTCAACATTCTCTATGTTAAAAAAAAAAAATTTTATTTCTCAAAAAAAAAATGTATATATATTTTTGACTAAAAAGTAAAAGTAAAAAGATGTGGAATTTAAATCATCATTCAATTTAAAGGATTGGTTCATAAGTACTCACCATTGTGCGGCGTCTCTGAAACCACGGCGGCGGCGGCAGCGGGCGGCTCCTCGGGGAAGGGAAGCGTCCGGCGGGTTCTGCGGCGGCGCGGTGACATAGCGGCGGAGTTCATCTGGTTCGCTAATGCGGTTTGCGAGAGGAATGGTGAAGAAAAGATGAAGGAGATTGGATTTGGGGCTACTTAAAGAAATTGGAAACCCTAGAAATTCGATTAGGGAAGAAGGAAGAGCAAAAAATTGCTGAATTTCTGATAAATTATACTATTGTGATTTGCTTTCCTTTTCTGTTTCTCAGTAATCCATCGCCTTTCTTTATGGTATTTTTTCTTTTTCTCAGTCATCACGTTTGTTGATCTCTAAATTTTCGGTTTTATTTTATTTTTGTTACTTTGGATTTTTATTTCTTTTTATTTCTATACTTAAAAAAATGACTATATTGGTTATTTTTTATTTTTATGTCATTTATTTTAACATAATGTTTTAGTTACTAAATTTTGGAATGTAGTGGTAAATGTGTACTAAATGGTTTCATATGTTGTACGTTGATGTCGACATTCGAAGAGTCCATGTGTCCTTCAATCAGGGATCTTCGGACAAATTTAACTTGGAGCAACGAATCTTGACACCTATGTCCTACAACGATCAAGTTAATAATCACGAGAGAGGAGAGAAATGGTAAACACCCTAATATTTAGTGACAGCTTTTTCACTTATCTTATGGTCATGGTATCTCGTATCTTTTATAGATGTCAGAGATGACCAGGAGGAGAGTCATTAGGGGACATTCCCGCCACCCTGAACCGCTACAAATATCTTGTAGTGGGGTGTATCGCGTACTTGCCTACACGTCCCTGCCATAATCAACACGTTGCTCCCTCCGTTGGTCATACGTTTATAGGGGTTTGATCCACGGACGTTTTGAAGGTACATAAATTAAAATGAATAAAAGTTAAAAGTACAGAGACCATAACAACGTTTTGAAAGTAAGACCAAAATCAACCAAAGTCGAAACTACAATGATCAAAATAATATTTAAACCTGATATTTATTTTTACTTTTGGCTATTAGTTTTTTTCCCCTTTTTTTAACAAATAATATCTTTGAAGTTTGCCCTATATATAAATAATACCTCTATCATATTAAAATTAGTTTCAATACTACACATTTTCACAAAAGTTTTAAAAATACCTAGAATATGGAATGACACGGCAATTGACATCCAAATTTTGTCCAAAAATTTTGATAGTTAATTTGCTTCCCTATTGTCTACCAAAATATGATGTCAATTAAAAAAACGATAACTTCTTTTATATTTTCGCTTTTTTAGACATAATTGAACAAACTTCTATGTTAATTATCACGTCTCTATGAAAATTCATAGTAGTACTTAAACTTTTAAAATAACGATGATTTTTTATATAAAATGATAAAATTTTGGATTTTTTTTATTTAGCCTTACATATTTTCTTAACATAATTTCATTTCTTTTTGAAAGAAAAAGAAATGGTTAATTACACAAAAGTTTCTATAGTTTTTTTCACGATGATAAAATTGCACAAACAAAAAAGAAGGGAACAAAAAAGATCCTAGAAATTGAATTTTGATTTTTGCAAAGGAAAATGATGGATCATACACGTAAAATTCATGAAATTGAAATGTTTTACCATGGAAGTGGAAGAGGATCACATTCCAAAATTATTTTTAAACCAATTTTAATTATTCAAATTTTGTAACTTTAAAATTTTAAAACCTTTTTCATTATTTAACTTTTTTAAATATGGAATATGCGTTTTCCTGCTTATTTGTCCATGTTTAGTTTAGTTTTTTTTTAATATTATATAAATTATATTTAAATATTAGTTAAAAGTTAAAACTTATGATATGTCACAATTCTCCATATATTAAAACTTAATAATTTTAAACTTAATAATTTTAATACTCATTTTGATTCACGAGTTAACAAACCTTATACAAAACGTCAAAAATAAGGAATAGAAGAAGGGAGTTACGTTTCTCTATTTCTTTTCATTTGCTAGGTGATTTGACTAGATTTTTTTTTCCCAAGAGCGTAGGTCAACTGAAACGAGTGATTTGAATTTACATCTCACGTGTTGTTAAACAAAATTATGAAATAAAACATAATATAAGTTAAAATTTCAAATTTATAATTGGCGAGAACAAATCTTTTTACTCACTAAAATTTTAAAAGATAATTAGAATTTAGCTCCGATTGTACAACGCAGTAAAATAATAGTCGGTAGACATCAAAACTCTACACTAAACAACTCTGCATCCCAAACACAAACTAAACAACTCAAAATCCTACCATTTAACTGGTAGGATTTTTTTAATTATTACTTGATTTCACCTCTTTTGTTGTCGTCATCTTCCTCGCCTTCATCCTCTTGTTCATCTTCCTCGCTCTCGTCCTCAGATTCAGGCTCAAGCTCGCCCTCACCCTCGCCCTCATCATCATTTTGAATATCATCCACATCAGTATCCTCTATATCATTCCCATTTCCAATATCATCTTGGCTCGTTTCGTCCTCTGAACTACTAGGTTCATTATCTAATATCAAACTCAAAACTTTTTTCGAGTTACAATCCCTCTGACTCCTCAGCATTTTATACTTGAGATTCTGTGACAAGTTACTGAGCTTTAGTCTAGGTGTAAATGAAGGTTATATTTCCGTAATACATTTCGAAGCATCAAACCAATCAAAGAGTTAAGTTGAAGAAGAAAAAGAAGTACCAGAACAACATTTAGTCTCACCATTAAGTCTTCATCTTCGGAATCAGTGTAAACGCTAACATATGGATGCCTCCTTTTTCGTCGTTCAGAAAGCCTAAGTCCTTTACCTGGCTGCAAATACACACATGAGAAATATAAACGTTTGAGATCCAATGAAGTTCAAAAGAGAAAAGGCACATAATCATTAACTTGCACGATTTTACTTACTCTACCGAGCAAGTCAATTTTCATCAAATTTAACCTTAAACTTGAATAAGTTTAGAAACTAATACCTCCATAAACCAAATAAGTAAACTATTCATCAATTAGACAAAAAATGACATTATATTCAACTAATAAAACACAAAAAATCAAACATAGAAATATCCAAACCAAACCAATGACAACATAGAAACCTAACCACAACATAAAGCAGGTAAATGAGTAGTCAAACTCAACCCCAAAATTAACGAATCCAACTAAAAAGCATTCGACATAAGCAAAATCATCAGTAGCCAACAAAATAGCCAGAAAAATGGAACTTTTTCATTGATGAGATGAAAAAATATATATATATTTGGAACCGAAATACTCTAATGAAGATGATGTATTCCATTTTCATAATCCTATAAGCTATAACCCTCTAAAGACGACGCATTCCTCCAAAAGACAAAAAATACAAAAGGGAACAAACATCCTTAAATTATAAGAACGCCTGGCTTCAATTGTTTTCCTCCCAACCAGCCATATTTTCAAAGTGTCTTATATGTTGTTATACTTAAAGAATTCCTATACACAAAATCAAGCTGCGTATGGTTGGAGATTAACCTTAAACCTAAGAAGCACCAAATTCGACACGACATGGACACGGTGACACGTCATTTCTAAATATACACTTTTTTAAATATATATCATTTTTATACAGGAAAGAAACTCAAAGTCAATAAGCTTATGCATTTTTATGCTTAAAAAATGAGTTTCATTTATTTTCCCCTCAAATTTGTATATTTTGTCCTATATTACTATTTATGTCTATTTTTGTGTTTAGCAAGTGTTTGATACGACGTGCCTAATAAGTATCAAATCTATATTCACTTTGTACAACTAGTGTGTGACACACATCTATTGAGCTAACAAGTGTTTGATACGTGTCCAGCAAGTGTCCGAGTGTCAAAGTGTCCAACACGAACACATTATCCAAAATGAAGTGTTCGTGCGTCTTAGCCTTATACTAATATTTGTCCTAGCTGAAGGCAATGTCAAATGTCAATAAGACCTTTTGAATTGAAATAAGATCTAGGATATAGTTCTCACAACAACATTTGCAGTTGGCATGGGTTGCATCTTCGGACGTAGCATCTTGGCAATTCTAGTAGTTGGTGTTCTTTTTGTTGTCGGTTCTGAAGGTTGCAGAAGAGCCATAAAATACATGTGAATGGCAAAAAAATGGCCTTCTTCTTGGTCGAGCACACGAGGCTGGAGGCTGGTCCATCCCCTAAACCAGTTTGTTTCGAATACATGGGCGATGCAAGCTAAATTTGATTTATAGAATTTCCCCTGAATGCTTTCGTAGACAAAACCTGACAATTAATTAACCTCGTCAATCTTCAGCCACTGTCTTGGCAAACAAAAATATAATAAAATGCTTTACTCAACATTCAGTTTCATTAGTGTCAGTATTAACATCTCATCAATAAAATTGTTTCTTATAAAAGAAAAAGCATCCATTTTCATAACAATAAACTTGGTCAGAAAACCACTATGAAATATAATTACATTTTGTTGAGGAAGTGCAATAGCATATCCTCTGCTCCATTAGCCGAAGAGAAAAGGTAATTAAAGACAAATCATGAACAACTAAAAGTTACCAAGACTATAGGGCACGAATTATTACACAAGACCCACATTCCTAATCATGGTTTTGTAAATCTTATCCTAAAGATAGTGGTTATCAGACGTAATGTTGTAGATTTGATCATTGAATCGAAGTGCACTGTATATGACATTCTGTACAAATACATAAGGTGAAAACTCCAATATTGCTCATTGATCATATACTTAATGGTATGTGTGCTATGAAGAAATATATATTCCACGAAGAAGAAGCTAATTATGAGTTTAAAAACACTGAAATACAGCGCAATGTCTCTCATTAACCAAATATTGTACGATTTATGCATCTGAGCAACCTTCATTGCATGCTATTAGAACGAACCTTAGCTCCTTCTGCCTCGCATGGCGCTGCATGTTGCCCCAGAATCTCAGCTCATTGCGGTTTGCGAGAGGAAGCGTGAAAATGTGAAGTTTCATTGTATTTGGGGATACTTGAAGAAATTTGAAACCCTAGAAATTCGATTAGGGAAGGAGAGAGAGGAAAATTTTGCTGAATTTCTGAGAAATTAAAACGATTACGATTCGCTTTCCTTCTGTGTTTCTCTGTAATCTAGCCTTTCGTTATAGAAATTTTTTGATGACTGTAACTTCAAAACGTTTACTTTGATCCGGCCCCGTCCCACTCGGCTCGGAGATATTGCTCACCAATGGTTACAGACAGTGGTGACCACACACCATAATTAAAATCCGTGAATGTATTTCGCGAATCATTCGATGATGTGTTGAGGGAGAATTCTCAATTGTGACTGATTTTCTACCATGATAGAGATAAATTCTCCAAATCATTCTGACAAATCTCAATACAATAAAGTCGAATAGCCTCAACAAATTCTAAAACGATGTTCGAGCCGATCGCTACGGCACTTCCGCCGTCGCGCACGTTTTGCTCCGTCATCATTACCTCTAGACCATGAAAATTTTATGAACAAGGATGCAACCAAGATGAAGAGTCAACCCACGAAATCACAAGCGGTTGTCCTACTCAATTTTGCGCTTGATAACTCTTCAAAATGCCCGTATCACGAAGCCATGAACCATAAATAATATTGTTGCCTTTGATTTTGTCAGCCGCAACAGAACTATTGGCAACTAACAAAGAGATTCCCGACACCCGACCACCATCCACCATCACAAAAACCAGTGGGAAAGAAGGATCCTCCCGAAAAATCAACTCAACTACACAATAACAAGAGGGGTCTCTATTATATCTCGATCCATACCGCTTACTTCTTGGAAAAAAAAAAGAAGCATGGAAGAACTGCTTTGCACAGAAAACGCACGCCATCCCTGGGAGGATAAGGAAATGAGGTAAGCAGGCCACTGCCCTTTCCTCTCTATTGTTTTCTCTGCCTCCTTTGGAAAAACTCAATCTTTCACCAGGGAGGAGATAAAAAGAAAAAACTCATATTATTGCTCAATTTTTATTTACTTATCAAATGTATTTTTCTTAAACCGTATTTACCTATCAAAGGTTGTGTGTCTAATTTTCCTATTCTATTTATCAAAATAGAGAGTGAAGAACAGTGAAAGGGATCAAATCTCACTTATTTGAGGGTTTAACTTTAACAATTCACGAGGGTAAGGATATCTTTCTAAATTGACATGTTTTTATGTTTCATGTTTAATTTGTTTGGTTTTATCCGTATGAGTTTTTTTCTAATTATTATTATTTTTTCGGGTACATGATAAGCAAACTTAAGAAAGAAAAATAGAACCGAAGTAATTAAAGAGAAAATTTTAGAAGGAAACTTCTTAGTCCAAACGCGATCCAATTGTCGAACAACCGCCATTCGAGCCAATTTATGAGCTATTGCATTACGTTTACAGTTGGTGAAGGAGAAACGAACCAAACCCGACAAGGAGCAACGCCTACGAATCTCAGTAATAAAACACCCCACCTCAGACAAATCTTCAGAATCCTGCATGAGGGACCAAAAACATCATAAGGAATCTGACTCGAGAAAGGATGGGTCGGAAGCCCGCCTTGTAAGCCAAATGGAGACCACGAAGAAGTGCCAGAGCTTCCGCCAAATTGATTGAAACACAGTGGGAGAGTGACATCGAAGCTGCCAGAAGAAGATGGCTGTCGACATCACAAATAACCACGCCAATCCTGCCATGGAGCGAATCCATGAGAAACCCAGCATCATATTCACCTTGAACCTACCATCTGGTGGGGGCTGCCAACGACATAAGAGATGATCACCATAAGGAGGAGCCACCACCCTAAAACACGGGAGATTTGCCGACTTGTAGGAACGTATATAACCTAATGCCCAATTCCCAAGAGAAACTAAGGGTTGTTTACCCAATGTACGAACACGATTTTGGGAATTCCAGATAGTCTACCAGAAAACTGAGAGCTCCTCAAAGTCTAAAGCCGTGAGTAGATCGTGTAATTCAAATAATATAAAGAACACACTTGGCAAAGTTCATTGGAGATAAAAAGAGCAAACTTCAAATGAGCCCAAAAGCTCAAAAATGATGCAGCACATATAACGATTTTTTCTTTTTATTATATCAACAAAAAAATTTATTCCTTTTTCAAAAATTTTGTTTTTCATAAGTGTTTATGAAAGTTTGAATTTAAGACCCGTTTAATTATCATTTCGTCTCTAATTTTATGTTTAAAATATTTAGGTTGTGAGCCTAATTATCTAGGCACACATAATGACAATAAAAATAAAATAATTTATGGTGATATGATAATAACTAATTACATTTATTTAGAAACGAAAAGACAAACCTCCTAGAACTTCAAACGAAAACTATCGTCATTGGGCTAGGGAAAACCTTTGGCACCATTGCTTCATTCTACAGTAGTTTTGTTTTAACTCAAATGTCACATCAATTAAAATTAAGTCACGTCAGCATTCTATTAGAACTCAAAAAAAAAAAAAAACTATTATTAAACTTAGAGACCAAAATTGTATCTTATCCTAAAAAAAAAATACTTAACAATGATTCATATAAGTGAATTTGGAAAGATTCAAAAACATCATGATCAATCACTTACGAGTGATTATGATTTTTTGTAAAAAAAAAAAAGTTAATAAGAAATTGGTTTTTAAAATGGAGAACGACTTTACATGGGTAATTCTTCAAGTTCTAGAGTTGAGGGACGGAGAAAAGTGGTGGTGAAAATTACTTCTGGCAAAGAACTAACCCTTAATGAAGTGCTTCATGTTACAAACATTCGCAAAAACCTAGTGTCTGGTTCTCTACTTAGCAAAAATGGGTTCAAATTGGTCTTTGTTTCTGATAAGTTTGTACTAAGCATGATGTTTTATGTGGGAAAATGTTATTTGAGTGATGGTCTCTTTAAGATGAATGTACTGATTGTTGTACCGAAGTCCTCTACTATTAATAATAAGACTGTTTCTTCTGCTTACTTAATTGACTCTTCTCATATTTGGCATGAGCGATTGGACCATGTTAATTACAAAACTTTAAAGAAGCTGTATAATATGGATTTAATACCTAATTTCATATTAGATCATAATAAAAAATGTGAAATATGTGTTAAATCAAAGATGACAAAACCTCCCTTTCATTCTGTAGAAAGAAAAATTGAACCTCTTGAATTAATTCACAGCAATATATGTGATTTGAAATTTTTGCTTACGAGAGGAGGTAAAAAATATTTTATAATATTTATTGATGACTCATGTATATTTGTTAAAAAAGTAAAGATGAAGCCATTGAACACTACAAGGCTGAAGTGGAAAATCAACTAGGAAAAAAGATTAAAATATTTCGAAGTGATCGAAGAGGAGAGTATGAATCACCTTTTGAAGGTTTTTGTTCGGAAAATGAAATTGTACATCAAACTAAAGTGATGTGAACCAAGGAAGCACCATTGTCATGCCTCAAGGACCCATAACGAGATCAAGAGCCAAGAAGCTACAACAAGCTTTACTTTCTCATG